TCATTACAGATTCACAGAGTGGAAGGGGTTGGAAGGGACCTCTAGAAATCATCTAGTCCAACTCTCCTGACAGAGCAGGATCCCCTAGAGCAGGTCACACAGGAACAAGGCCAGGTGGCTTTGGAAAGTCTCCAGGGAAGGAGACTCCACCCCCTCTCTGGGCAGCCTGTTCAGGGCTCTGGCACCCTCACAGGGAAGAAGGGTTTCCTCATGTTCAGGTTGAACCTTCTGTTTTCCAATTTATGGCCATTGCCCCTCGTCCTGTCACTGGACACCACTGAGAAGAGCCTGGTCCCAGTCTCCTGACATCCACCCTTTAGATATTGATAAGCATTGATAAGATCCCCCCTCAGCCTCCTCTTCTCCAGGCTAAACAGACCCATCTCTCTCAGCCTTTCCTCATGTGGAAGGTGCTGCTAGACCTTCACCATCTCAGTGGCCCTGCACTGGACCCTCTCCAGTAGCTCCTTGTCCTTCTTGAGCTGAGGAGCCCAGAACAGGACACAGTCAGTTGTTATTCTTGTCCTTCAGACCACTTGGCAATAATCATAGAATAGTTAGAGTTGGAAGGAAATTTTTAAAGGTCATCTTTTCCATCCCCCCTGCAATGAACACGGACATCGTCAGCTAGATCAGGTTATATATAATCTCCTGTGGAGATTCAGTAGCTGAGGCAATGCAGTATATGGCACTATTGTATGCCAGGTCTTTCACCCAAATGTGGTTTGCTGCACAAAGTATATCTCTCCTCTCCCATCTTTTCCTTTCAAACAAACATATTTGTTGAAATCCACATGAAGATGACAGATTAGAGGGTAAAAGCCTGTCATGAAGAAAGGAGAAGTAATTGAATAGAGTTGGATAAGAGAAGCCCTGAAGAAGGGTTTGTGTGCTGCAAAGCTTCCCTTATTTCTTCTTTTTTTTTTTTCCCAAATCTATCAGTTGCAATAAAAGCTATTCCATCTTCACCTAAATCTTGTCTTGATTGTGTTTTTAGACCTCTGTGGCTGTAAGAGCACAACTATCACCATTTACAGTCATCTCTAACACAGTGTCTTGTGGCAACAGATGATGTCAGACCATACCACGTAATCACTTCCCTGTGGGAATAAACAGTTGTCCTAAAAGAGTCTTTTTAACATTCACAGGCCCATTTCACGTGGGACTCAGAGCACGAAATTGCTGAGGCAATCTGTTGGATGATCCTGCCAGCTATCTCACCTTCTGCCTGCTCACATTTTCTTTTTCCTAGACTTGCAGTAGGATCAATGGTGTAGGTAACTAGTCAGGGAGCAAGTGCCACAGTTTTTCCTTCCTTATGTATGCTGGTAGCTTCATTATTTTGCTGTGGCTATGTTTCAGGCACTTAGTCTGATGAGCTGATGGTGTCTTACGTATGACGGCACCAGAAGCCAGTCTGTAAAGTTTTTAAAAGCAAAAGTTGCTAAGAGAAATAAGGATCTCCATAGTGAACGTTAGACTCATGAAAGGGATTATTTCCTTTCTATTTTTGAGGATATTTTCTTCTACTTCTTCAGCTGGTGTCTGTTAACATCCTATCTCTCAAATACCCTGTTATGACAAGACCAGTTCAACAGCTGAACAAGGATGGAGTTTACCAACAGCACATGCTGCAGCATTGGGTTGATGGAAAAGAAAAGCTGGTTGTTGCCACCACTGTTTAACACAACTTAGTTTATTATCACATACCTTGTTCTCTCCCCATTGAGCTGCATTTCTTCACAAAATAATTTCTCCAATCTAATACATTATCAGAATATGGGGAAGCAATACACTAAAGTGTGTGGTTTTGTCAAGAAACCTAACCCTTCATCTTCCACTGTGGTTGCACTTATTCTTCCTTCCTCTTCCAGCATCCCTCCCTTTGTTTACTGTCATCTCTTTTTCCTTTTACCACCTGGTGCAAAGTCCAGGGCTTCATACATCCCCTCTCCAAGGTAGTGTTCGTGCCTTCAAAATTGCACGCAGTTTGTGACAAAGACATAGCTTCATCTAGAAAGCACCACAATGCTCTCTGTTGCTGTGTCCATGAATAATTAATATAGTGAAATAATTATATGCAACAGATTTTACCTTCTTGTAATTTGCAACTTGTTCTCCATGTTTCTGTAAAGCAAATGACTTAGACTTGTTGTTTTCTTTCACTTTTAACCAATACCTGGCTTACCTATAACTGCTTTGTTTAAGATCATGTTGCATAGGCATTATATTTTTTAAAATTTTAGACTATAAACAACTTCATGATAAATAGTAATGAGAAATATTCCAGTAAATTCTGATTAGGATAGGAGCAGCTGCAGGCTAACAGGTTTTTGGATTAAAGGAACAATTATTTATCTGGCATAAACGGTGTACATACTGGTTTAACCTGGCAAGAAGATAAACTTTAATATGACACTGACTTCAGTACAGTCTCACTCATGGTAAAATTTACAGACTTATTGAAGTAAATAAATATGTACATATTGCTACTGTTTTGTTAACACATACATATGTACACCTGTGGATATGTATTGTGTGGTAGGAGATGCCAAACAAACAAATCTACTCGGTATTAACACTCTTCACAAATGTACCTGACAGACCCAAATTTTGAAAATGTTGACTGAAAATATTTATAGTTTTCTGTGCAGCCCTGCCTCAGATATGAGGAAAAAAAAAACCCAAACCCAAATAACCAAACAAGAAAAAAGCCAAAAACATTTCAGGCATGTGGCACCAGATTTCTGTATTTGAACATATGAGCTCATGAATTGTAGCTTTGAGCTGTGCAAAAATGTGCATAAGTGGCCTTGATGTGTCTATATGTTTGGTGATGCACGATTTGTCTCTATATTCTGCCTGAGAAGTGGACACCAATATCTATCCCACAGCATAATTAGAAAAGTCATAAAATATCCTGCTATACTGAGTCAGGATCTCACCCATCTGGGATTTATACCAAGAGATGTTCTTTTCTGGTTTTGCTGTCAGCACAAATGTTTAAATATACCTTCAAGAGCTGAAATATTTGGAAAGAAATTCTGTTTGCCTTATGTAAGCAAGCAATAGTCTGCCTTTAATGGTTTCACCCTTCAGTTATATTCCTCTTGCTCTGCTAAAACTACAACACACATAGCCATCTTCATTTTAAGAGGGATTACATGTCGAAGAAGATAAAGTGAAGGTGTTCAGATTTTGTGTAAAGTGAGCCCTTCTCTCTTCTCTTCTCTTCTCTTCTCTTCTCTTCTCTTCTCTTCTCTTCTCTTCTCTTCTCTTCTCTTCTCTTCTCTTCTCTTCTCTTCTCTTCTCTTCTCTTCTCTTCTCTTCTCTTCTCTTCTCTCTTCTCTTCTCTTCTCTTCTCTCTTCTCTTCTCTTCTCTTCTCTCTTCTCTTCTCTTCTCTTCTCTCCTCTTCTCTTCTCTTCTCTTCTCTTCTCTTCTCTTCTCTTCTCTTCTCTTCTCTTCTCTTCTCTTCTCTTCTTCTCTTCTCTTCTCTTCTCTTCTCTTCTCTTCTCAGAATTTAGATTTCAAACTAAAATTTTGAAGCACAATAAAGTGAGCTCTTGCAGTACAAATAGATTATGGTGTTCACAGAAAAGAAGAAATTATCATGGCAGTTTGAAAATTACAGTATCTTTCCTTTAGACATGAGTGATGAGCACAGATGCATTCTGCTCTAAGATCTTTATATCAGTGTCCTCACAGAAACCATCTGATCTCCTTCTAATACTGCATTGATTTATATGCTATTTTATACCACTGTCATATGCAGTTCATTCTTTGGTTTTTTTTCTCATCTTTCCACCAAAGAAGGACTGTGCATGAAGTGGTAAGATTTATTTCTTCCACAGAATTCATAGAATCATAGAATGGTTTGGGTTGGAAGAGACCTTAAAGACCATCTAGTTCCAACCCTCCTGCCATGGGCAGGGACACCTTCCACTAGACCAGGTTGCTCCAAGCCTCATCCAGCCTGGCCTTGAACACTTCCAGGGATGGGGCATCCACAGCTTCTCTGGGCAACTTGTTCCAGTGCTTCACCACTCTCTCCATTAAGAACTTCTTCCTGAAGTTCCAATTTTTTGTTGTACTTAGGTTGGAGAAGGCAGGTCAAATAAAAGTGTTTTTCACATGGTGATAAAATATGTACTAGTCCTTAAGATTATTTTTCTTCTCTGGGAGTTTTCACTATCCTCTTGGATCAGTTGCAATGAAAGTTTTCTCCCTTGCTCTTTCACATATTAACTTTAAGTTAAAAGCTCGATTTTGCCTGAGGAGTTATTGATCAGAGTCTTCATTTTAAAGATTTGTTGATCATTCAGCAGTTTTAGACCCAGGCCAAGTAATTGTTACTTTCAAGAAATAAACAATTCCAGAACTATCCTGAGATAAACTGATGTAGTGCAGTAGATTTCAATCATTAACAGCTGAGGATTTTACCTAACTTCAGAAGGACTATATGTGAGTTCAAAGGCGTGGAAAGCCATTCTGGATGCAAATCACTGCAAACCTGTAGTGACATTTCATCTTTGTTACCCTAAACCCTGCTATGAGTCTTAAATTAACATTTCTTATTAGGACCAATGTCCTAAATTTTTCACCAACTTCATTTTTTAAAATCCTGTGATACCTGAATCTATTTCAATCCTATGTTGTTAATCATACTACATACAAGACTCAAAAGACCGACAATATGTAATAATTACTGTGCATGAAATCAAATGAGGTAGCCATAAATATCTAATTTGACTGTAAAGCTTATAAGATCTAATACCTCACTTTTCTCAGACCAAAATTTCAATCCATTCATCTTTCTCAAATCCACAATGAGATGCAATATTTAAAAACAAAAACTAAACCCACTGAAATAGTCCAAAAACACAAAGAAAAACATCATCATCACCAACAAAACCAGCCACAGAATTGTTCTTCATGATTGATTTTGTCAAAACACGGAATATGAGGTTTCCCCTAATCTAACATTTCTTTTGTTTTGCAGGTGGCACCTGTGTGGTTAACCCCACGGACCTGTTCTGCTCTGTTCCTGGTCGCTTATCCCTACTCAGCTCCACCTCGAAGTACAAAGTCACCATTGCGGAGGTGAAAAGGCGGCTTTCACCACCAGAATGCCTCAATGCTTCCCTCTTAGGAGGTATTTTGAGAAGGTAAGTTAAAGGTGAGAATAACAAGTCCTAGACAGTGCTGTAATTTCTGCAATTTTATTTTCTACAAATAGGTTTTGTTCTCTTTCCCCACTTGGCTAAGTGTCATGGTTTGGGAAAACAGAAGGAGGTGGATTGGGAGTGACATTGTTTCTAGGGAAATTTTCAATAAATGAGAGAAATTAAGATTGTGATGACATTTTTCACAGAAAATTTAAATTTTTCAGTGAATTGATTTTTTTTTAGCCTCTCAGTGCGTTTACCCAGTAGAGATGGGTAATTGCCTTGTTTTGAATGGAAAAAAGAAAAAAAAAAAAAAGAGAGATCCTCAGTGCGTGGAAAATCTCGCCAGAGCTATAAATCTGACTTCTTGTTGAGAAACTATTTCAGAATATATTGTTTCACCAAGTGTATTTACAACCCTCACTCATCAAAAACTTAAATCACGGAGGTGTAGGGGTGCCTTTTTCTCCCCTTCTCCCTTGCATGCTGCTTCAATACAGAAAAGAGAGACTTAGCAGAATACACTGGTTTTATTTTTCTTGTGAGATACTGAAGAAGCAAGTAATTAGGTAAAATTTTGCCTCTGACCCTTCACTGACCAGAGTAGACACCTGCAAAGAGCAGTAGCAGAGGAGGAATGTGGCAGACTGTGCCTCACATTGCAAGTGGAAAACAAGGAGGCAACTGTAATTCTGCCAGGCATCTCTAAGTTGCAATGTCCCTGAGGCATCAGCTTAGATGGCATAAGCTACTTGAATGCCCTTTGATCAAAACTAGCTGGAAAGTCATAGGCTATTTCACTGCTGTCACTGACAGCCACACTGATCCTCATACTTATACTGAAAGCAATTTTAACCAACCTGGGATATTCTAAGATACGTAGTAGTCCAAGAGGGGTTGTGAGCCATCTTGCAGAGTAAGGACTACAGGTTGTAAAATTGTTTCAGGGGCATCAACCCTATTTATGTGCCTCTATAGGCATTGATATCCAAAATCTACATCCACAAAAAGTTTCCCTATGTTACTGCTTCACCTTGGAAAGGTCTTCAGCTAATACTCACAGAAATATTGACTTTAAATACTCATACCACAGGCTTCATCAATACTAGTACAAGCTATTAAGAATGCAAAGATATCAGCCTGAACATGGGGCCTCATGTCTCTCTTCTGTTAAAATGTTAGAATGATCCCCATAAGTTTTTGACCCAGACCAAATATCACCCTTCCAAATCAAGCCTGGGCATGGTCCAGGAGTTAGCAAAACCCAGCCAACAGTTTGGATATACTAATTCTGATGTTTGAAGCAGAGAGTGTAAATTAATAGATTTGATCAGGCTATACATGTAGGTGTCACAACTACAGAACAGACTCTAACACTCTGTAGTTGACCAGCAGAGATGTAGGAAAACCAAACATCCCTCATAGTTTTCCTGAGACCTGGCAGGGTTGGTTTTGCATCCTGCCAACAGTCACCATCTAAGTATTTCTCTAACTAGTTTTTATTCAGAACTAAGTGTTTTCAGAAGACATATTCTGACATACAACATGGTAAAAGTTGTGGTATCTCTTAGTGTGTACAAATGACCATCCAAATGGCGGTATTCCATGTTTGGTTCCTTTCTGTTCCTGAAGGAACTTGAACCTGCATCTCAAAACATTTAGTTAGGTACACTTAATACTCAATGATGATTGGTTATTCTAAGCTGAGAGTCACTCAGTCTCATTTGGGGCTAATCAAATATTTATTGGACAAAAGCAAAGGTGTAACTATAGTGATGACTCTATTATCTAAGGACCAGGTCATTCTTTTGGGATGGGAGAGATCTGGTTTTCAGTCACTGCTCTATTCAATGTTTAAGCATTTTAACATTAGTTATTCTCTGCCAGCTGGCTGCTGCATTTGTCTAAAGGACGTAGGTTAAAATTTCCTCAGGCTGAGCAAGAAATTGAACCTATGTCTGCTGCATAAGTGGATATGTCTCAAATGCTTTGAACACTGAGGTACTGCAGAAAAGTAGGCGTGGGATGCACCAGGAGCCATTTTATGAGAACAAAGTGATGTAAGCATTTGGAATAAGGGCATAGATGACCATCAATGGCTGGGAATTTAGCTTCAGCATTTCCTATTGCCTTATCCTTCTTCTTTCTAAGTGCTGGGCTTCGTAAACTACATTTCTAGGTATGCAAGTCTCTACATAAACTATAGAGGGATAGCTGGACCCGGGTTCCACATAGATCTTCACATTTGAGTAGCCATCTGGCTTCCTTATCATGTGAAAGATATGTGTAAAGTCCCCTCATTCTAGGCATCTTGTTAATATCATTATAGAAGTACTTGTTTGTCTCTCAGTTGACCCTGGGGTGAATAATCAGATATAAGTGACTGTACTGGCAATATTTATATTCTGTGATTGCAAGCCCAGGCTCTGTACCCAAATCAGGACCATGGGTTCCACCAGGTGGAAAGCTGTCTGAAGACCTGAAGCCACTATGACAGGCATTAAAATGTCTAACTTTGTCAAAGGACCAACATGAAAGACTCACAAAGTGTGAGCAGGATGTTAAGAATACAGCTCTGAAAGATTTTTCCATTGATGTCACTAGTGCAGGCATTACCCCACACATTTGTCAATAACGTGTACAAATTCAAGGCTTATATTTACATAGGGAAAAAAAGTGCAAATTAAAGACAAGTTTCTCTCTCTTACTGTTCTCTTGGGATAGAGCAAAATCCAAGAATGGAGGACGCTGCTTGCGAGAAAAATTAGACAGACTGGGATTGAATTTGCCTGCAGGAAGAAGAAAAGCAGCAAATGTCACACTCTTGACTTCCTTGGTAGAAGGTAGGGTTTATAATATTGCAATATAATATAAACATGATTAAAATGTTTCCTTGTATACAACACTTTTCAGCCACACTGTTAAATAATCTGTATTTTGTACAAGTAGGAGAACTGACTTGCCTAAAGCCACAGACAAAGTGGCAAAGTGGATGTCCATTCTGAGATATCTTGTCTCCCAGCAAGTGTTTTGGTCCTGCAGTTTCCTCAGCATTGATCTGTGCTTTCTGTGCTGGGATCTGACTTACAAATCGATGATCCAAGTGTTCTTGTGAGACAGATGAATGTCTTATACCAACTCTATAAGTAGGTTTGTTTATCCTCCTTTTTTTTAACTTGTCAATTTCCTGGAGCTGATCCAAAAATGTGATTTTTTTTTTTTCCTCATAAGAAAGCATAATATTTAGACAAGACTTTTCCCCACACACATAAATGAATGAAATCTTTTTTCAGATAAACTCCAGACAGGCCCAGGAGATACTTCTTGGCCTTTTTTTGTTGTTTAAGTATCATTCACCAAATACTGATGGGTTCTTCAAACCTTCAGCTGGGAGATGCAGGTTCAAACCCCTCAGGCAAAGGGAAGAAACTCTACCTGAATCTCTTCTAGTCTGGGTGAATCCACTAAGTACTCAGTTTGTTGTCTAGCTGCGAGTAGCAGCTCTGGGAATTTCAGATCCCTCCTCCTTGATGTTGAGAGAACTCAGCTCATCCTAAAGGTCAGCACCTTCTAGGATCATAACCTGAAAGGTCCATACAGATCTATGCAAGTAGGCTGAGGTCTCAGCACATATTACCACAGAATCACAGTATTGCAGAAAGGTTGAGGTTGGAAGGGACCTCTGACGATCTTCTAGTCCAACCCTCCTGTTCAAAGCAGGGTCAGTTTGAAGAGGTTGCTCAGGACCTTGTCTAGTCAGGTATTTAATGTCTCAAAGGATGCAGAAATAGTGCTGAATACACAACAATGGGTGTTTTTTACCATCTAAGAGAAGGGACTACTGTTCTCAGGGGTCACTGAGCACACAGAACTACAATGGGGCTGCTTTGAAACACAGGGGTGTCCATATCACACCTGCTTGTAATAAAGAGAAAGTCATAATGGAGTTACAGGCTTAGAGAAGGGAGTTTTATCTCCCAGTTTAGGGGAGTAAGGGCTGTCCCTACCCTCACAGGCCTTCCTGCATCTTGGGGCTTAGCAGGAAAGAATAAATAGAGCTATGTGGCCAGCTACTCATTCATTAGAAGAGATTGAGAGCGAGGAATCCCTCTTTCAACTGCTGGCCTGGGACTGACAGGCAAAGTACCTTTACTGTAAGTCAGAATTAGATTCCTTTTTCACAGGGACAGAGCTGTGCTTGCCTCCCTGCCCTTTTCTCAAAGCCAATAGCAAACCTAATATCAAGCCTATGGTATTGTTTTTTTTCTTGGAGTGCCTTAATATGAGTCCTAAAGATATATACTGAAGACACTGAGCTCACTTTGATAGAGACTTGTTTACCAAGACACCCTAATAATAAATCTTGTCTATTGGAAGTTTTAGGAAAAGCATCACCATATACATTAACATTCCAACATAAAACAAAATGTAGCTCATTTTCTGTCTAGGTAACCAGTCCTCTGTCAAACTTGGCAGTGCTTGTTGAATTCTTTGTGGTAACCCATTGTACACGCAGATACTACTGCTAAGTGGTACAAACTCATAGCACAGTTTGTCCAAGGAAACCCATTCCTCAATGTCTCCTGCTGCTGGAGGAGGCTGAAATGTAAAGACACGAACTTATTCAGGGTTTTAGAGGAGAAAAAATCATGAACAAAATAACTGGCTTTTTCTGTCTGATGTCAATATACAAATTCACATAACAGTTCATTAAACTTATTAAATCCCTAAATATCAGGTGCACTGTGTGGACTTCTCATAAGGAACCAGGATTGTGTCGCTCTTGACTACTTTAGGTAGTTCTAAGCTTATTATTACTGAAGAGTCTCACAGTCTTCAGTGTATCGAGACCTTTAATGTCTCTGTAAAGTAGGAATGTGCTCAACCTCTTGAATATCTGTTTGAGGTAAGAAAAGGGAAAATTATGGTGATTTGGTATATTGACATCCTGAAATGTCTCTGTCATGTCTAAGACTTCTTTTCCTCTAAATAGACTAAAAACATTGAGTTTTGGGGAGTACTGCTAAGTTCAACAGAGTGCAGTGAATTTCTAGGTTTTGGTAGTCATGTCAAGATGCAGACTTTATGAAAATGATTCTGTGGTCACTTGTTTCCTGCAAATTTACTTCTTTTGGGGTTCAGCATGGCTGCTGGGTGTTTATTGTTATTCTTGTTTTGGTTGGGTTGCATCTTTAGTGTCTTTGGTAGGGACTTCCAGGGCCCAGAGAAGGAACTGTTTGACAGATCAGTTCTGTTCTTTACATATCCATGTAAATTGTCACAATAGGTGGCAAGACAGAGTGGGAGAATGAGCTTAGCATTGCAAGACCCTCCACAGCAGTATGGGACATAGCTTTGTGCAACCTGTAGGTGAGGGATGCCCTCTAGTGCCTAGATTAGATGAAGGGAAAGGTCATTTTTCTTAACCAGGTCTAAAAGGAAAATTCCTGCATCTTAGCTAATACAGTAAGGGCTCCTCCATTAAATACCAGCATTGCCAAGGCTAAACCTTACTTCTGGCTCAAAGGAGTCAAAATCCTCCCCAGTAGAAGCAAAAAAGGATGTGAGAAGAGGGGAGATGCTCCCGTCTGTTTGGACAGGTCACTTATGAGGAAGAAATATAGCATATATGCTATTGCAAATGCAGGTAAAAGCAGTGCATGAATGAATTTAAAACCATCATATTATTTAAAACAAACAAACAAACAAAAACACACCAGAAAAAAAAAAAAAAGGAAAAAAGCACTTTCAAAACTCTAGAATTTATTTTCCTGTTAAACCTAAGACACTAAATTTACTAGACATAGAATTGACTGCATTCATCATTTGGGGACCTAAGAAAAATAGGTCAGTGGTTACTTTTTCCCCCCTTCTATCAGGTGTCACACTTCCTCACCAGCCTTTGTTTAAATATTCTTCCATTTGTTCCTCCTCCCTTCTCACCCCACAAATAGAAGAAACCTTTCCTTCCACTTCCCGCCTGTCCCTCCTCCCTCTGGGTAGCATTTCTGCTGGTTAGAGCATCCGGAGGAGGTGAAGCCGAGGAGAGAGTGGGAGGTTCAGATGCTGAGTGTCCCTCTCCTGGGACACAGCTTCTGCCTTCACTCTGCATAGGAGCATCTCTCACTCTTGCTAGACCCAGGAGACACCCACACTGGTCTTTGCACCTGCCCACAGAAGCCTGTCAAGGTACCAGGGCTGGTCTCTCCACTGAGGATTTCCAGAGCTGTCTCTGCCAATTCAGCTTCAGCAACTGTCCTTTTCCATCATGCAAAGCTCTCTGGTCAATTGTCAAAATATGTAGGAAAGGCAGAGCTCCTTATAGCTGCAAAACCATGTGTTGGATTGGAGGAGAAGGAGTAAAGGATCCCCAGTGCCTGTTCTTTGTCTCTGCAGGAGGAAAGAGCTGGAGATATTAGGAATAGAGAAATTTGATTTTAGATGGAAACAAGGTAACTGCCTATAAAAGCCATTTTTTTTAGGGATTTCTACCTTTAGTATGACTCCTCCCTGACATAGTAACTTGGCAGAAGGCAAATCTAATCTAAGTATAAAGGTAAATTCATCCACATTTCCAACATTTCTGCATTTACCCCTAGAATAAATGTTTGTCCAAATTATGATATAGAAAAAGAAAGAACATATTTTATGACATTTTGTGCAAACTACTTTCCCCACCAAGCAGAATTATTTCCTACTCTGAAATAATACAAGGAACCTATAGTCACTGAGATTAACAAAAATTAATATGTATAGAAGTATAACATATCCACTTCTAAATACCTCATTTGGACCCAGTTCAAAACAAGATCTTTGCTCAAAAAAGAAATACAAAAAATCATGTTCTGCAGAACATTTTCAAGACCAGTTTTCTACTTCTTAGAATTTGACATTGTAATTTAGAATGGTTATTCCTTATATCATATGGAAGTGCATGCTTTTATGAATACATATGCATACTTATAATGTACATTCCTAACATATACCAGCTATCCATTTCCAGTAAAATTTATTATAAAATTTTGTAGGTTTTTTTCACAGTAGAATACATTTGTATATACATTTTTACCTCTGTAAATCCACAAGAAGATAAGTCCTTTTGTTTCATTTTCTCATTATTTTATCTCTTCATATACCATTAACATTCCATAACAACCCCAGTTCAATTTAAAATGGACAAGTTTTATAATTTTGTATAATTTTCCCAGATCACCAAATGACTTTAGTATAATTTTCTCATCTCTAGTAAATAATATACACCGACATTAGAAAGATACATTTTAATTATGTTTATATTTTCATTCTCTTTCTTTTTGACATTAAGTGAAAACCTGCAAATTGCAGTCAGTTTGTTGTTGACCACATTAAATAAATGCTTACATTTCATGACATAAACTTTTGTTCTCTTGAAGAAACCAAGCCTTTTTCAACAGCTAAATGCTTAATGCTTTGCTTACTCTATTCCTTGCATTGTTACTTGGTTCTGACTGGGACCGGGATAGAACTGTCTGGAGAACAGTAATTCCACCTGATGTCAGCTTCAATGGGTTCGACTTTTATCTTCTTTCCACATTGGCATGAAAACAAATCTATCAAGTGTTTTAATGGAGTGAGGTTGAAAAGCACAACCTGGCACCCTTCTGAAGTTGAGTTACTCTTTAAGTGTTATTTAAGGAAGAGTAAAAGCGTAGCTGAAATACAAATTTTGAAGCAACTCTACAGAAATTTAGCAGCTATGGTTTAAACTTGTACCCTTTCTCATTCATGAAGAAGTCTGGGATAGACATTTTAAATAGAAAACTGGCAGTCAGTTAAATGCCTGTTCATTCTGACTCACTGTTAACATACCACTAAAATCCATTTAAAATATACTGCCAATTATTATACTTTTCCAGAAGCTGTAAACTAAGTGGAAACCATTTCTCCTTTCAACTCAGAGACAGTGGTTGTGTGTTAACTTCTTATTCTTTTTAGGCATACTGGAAATCATGTTTAAAAACCACAAATAGTGCAGATGATTTTGAGTATGATCTTCAATTTTTGCATGTAAAATTGGTCACAGCTGCGAGGGTTGGTGTTGATTGCTGTCAGCAAACAAACTCCCTGGGAGTAGTGCATGTATTTTACTAGTACCTGAACCCAATTAGTTCAGATAAAAACATAACCAAGTATTTGTCAAAACAAAAGGTATTTTTCTGGTAAAAAACTTCTATGATAGGAGACAAGACAGTTAACTCTGAAAAAGTGGACAACAGAGTCTGGAATAAAGGTCAGTGTGTGTTGTTCCTCATGCGTCATGCTGCCCCTTGCACAGGACCACTGCTCCCATGGAAGTGTCTATCTTCCTTGACTTGACCAGGTCTGTGCCGAGCAGACTCAGTCTTGCTGGGGATGGGATTCATCTCATCATCTCTATTGTAGTTGTGTCTGTCCTTTGATGTCCCATTGCTGGGAGAAATCAACACTTCTGTGTGATTAACAATTAAAGTAAATTAATATTGAAACAATTGATTAGGTTTCTCAGAAAAGTTGTGGAATCTTTATGATTGGAAATATTTAAGACTGGGCTTGAAAAGTCCATGAATATCCTCATCTAAGGTTACACTTTTAACAGGCGGTGATCTCCTGAGTTCCCTTGTAACCTGGACTTTTCTATAACTCTGATCCACTTTTACCTTCTACTCTAGTATGGGGTAATACATGCTTCAAGTGTTAGCTTGTCTCCATTGACCTGAAAGTACCAGGTCATATTTCAATACTGACATTTAATGAAAGGAATTCCACTGCACTTGTTCTAAAAGGGAAGAGTTGCAGGTCCTGTGTACCTCCTAACTGTTTACCTGGAGCATCAGCCTGGTCTCCAAAAAGTCAGGGTCCAATGCCATCTCTCATGATGGCAACCAAACACACGAGACTGAAAAAATAAGAAAAATAGAATAAAAAGCCCACAACACCCTAACTCCAAAACTCTTCTGGAGCACATCTCTCAGACACTTATGCAGACATGCATAGGTCTGGTAGCTGACCTATTTCTACCTTCTACAGTGAGATGAGGGCAAGTGTCATCTGGAAATGCCTATTTCCCACCAGGGAAAGACTAACTTAGACACAGATGTTCACACTCCAGGCAGTTCTGTGTGATCAGATAAATCCCACACCAAGGTTGTCAGAATCATAGCACGCAGGCCAGAGTGTTCAGTAAACCCTAAAATGAATTCCTGGGTCCTCTATGCTAGTGGAGAGGGATAGGTTCTTCCAGAGGTATTTGGCATCCAGCACGGAGTTGGATTGGCATCCAGTCTTTGTAGTGAGGTAAAGAGGTGCTCAGTGCCTGCCTCTGTCACAGACTTTTCATAAAGCCTACTCAAGCCATGAAATTCCTTTGCCTTGATTTCCCCACATATAAAACCGCAACTGTGATCTTCATTGTCATCTTTTTTTTTTTTTCTCGGGTCAACTTTGGTTGCAATCTTTTTAGAAACAGGATTCTTTCTTGTGCTGTGCTTTGAGGTCTGCTCGTCTTTAGTGTGGGGTACTGGCTTCACCCTAACCAAATCTGCTGAAATGTATGCTATCCCCACAGACTCACTGGTGGCAGGGGAGGGAGCTAAACCCAGATGTCTTGACTAGCATTTTCTCATGAGAGGAGTAACCTCCCTATGGTCTGGCTGGCACCATCTGATGACTAAGCATGAGCAAGCCAAATGGGCTGAAAACTGTAACTGAGATTGGGAATTAATATCTACAGAAGTGACTTACTGTATTATTATTATTCTTTAAGAGTGATAGAAATTATGTAAGCATAATAATAATAACCCTAAAAACTAACTGACCCATTTTGTTTGCCCACAGGGGAAGCATTACATTTGGCCAGAGATTTCGGCTACACCTGTGAAACAGAGTTCCCTGCCAAGGCGGTAGGAGAGCACATTGCCAGACAGCACATGGAACAGAAAGAGCAGACAGCGCGGAAAAAGATGATCCTAGCGACAAAGTAAGAAGGGAGGGGAAACTAAAAAAGAAATCTGTCTGTCACTTCTCCATTTTGGACCTGGGGGTTGGGGGAGGGAGGAGTGGGAGTGCGGAGCTGGGATTGCGGTGACTGCTATCACAACTACTCACTGGCAGCAAGTGAGAGCAATCTTCTTTAGAGATGCTGTAAGAGGAACCATATTTACTGCAATGAGGTTTCAGTGGCTACGCTCTCGTTGCCTGCGGTGAAGGAGGCACGTATCTCTTCTCCAATGCTTTGGTTTAGATGAGAGGAAGGGACATTATTATATGATAGGATCAATAGGACAGGCACTAGCTTTTTCTCCTGTTTGCATGTGAGGAGCAGATCTAAGCTTACACTGAAGTACTAATTACTGTGGGATAAATATCGTTAGTCTGATGAGGGAAAGCCGGTTTGCAGAGGGACAGATCCTCTCTGGATGGAAATTGCAAGAGTTCCCCTGAAGTCAAAGGCACTGGAACAATGTAAACCAGCAGGAGAGCTTTGCTAAAGCCATTGAAGACACACACAGACACCTGACTTGGCTCTAAACAAGCCATTCACCCCCCTGGAGCAGTAACATCATGTTAAGATAACATTCTATCTAGGTTAATTAGCCTTGATGAGGGAGGGATTAGCCTCCATGAGACATGGGAAACAGGAATAAATAGTCTGCATGGAACAATATAGAACTATACTAGGTGTGGGGTATGCCTGCATGGGATAGCCTTGAACGTATTCATATTCTTCCTGCGCTTACTGCTGTGTTACACAGTGAGACTGTAGGAGAGCTGAGGACAGGATAATGATAGGACAAGGGGTAATGGATTTACATTGAATGTGGGGAGGTTTAGATCAGGTATCGGAAAGTTCTTCACAGAGAGGGTGGTGAGGCACTAGAACAGGTTTCCCAGAAAAGTGGTGGATGCCCCATCCCTGGATGTCTTCAAGGCCAGGCTGGCTGAGGCTTTGAGCAACGCGGGCTAGTGGAAGGTGTCCCTGCCCATGGCAAGGGGGTTGGAACTAGATGATCTTTAAGGTCCCTTCTAACCCAAACCATTCTGTGATTCTATGATAGAAACCTGAGCTCTCAAAGCACCATCTGCCTTTTTTCCCCAGTGCTGGAAATGTTTGGGAATCATCCAAGCTGGGTTGTATCTGACAGAGAGGAATCACCCTGTAGTAGGGGAAGAGGCTGACCAGTTACAGGACTGTCCCTTGTGCTTCATCTGCATATGGAGAACAGCATTTCTGACCTTGGTGTCCCTCTTGTATCCAGAGCTCTTCTCCCTGAAGGTGACATGATAACACACATTGAATCATCTCAGGCCTGTGAATCCTTTCCTGAGGTCTTAAGCAGAGCACCATGTGGCTCAGGGGTCATTTGCCAGTTGTGAAGGCGATGGGAGACCTCACTCATCATGTTCCTAAGTCCCTTGTAGGTTAAAACTAATAAGTGGAGTATGACCTTATTCTTACCTACATCCCCACTTGTTTTAAAGGCCCAAGGGGTTTCAGAAACATGAGAATAAACCAGCTGGCAAGAAGCAGCTCCTCTCTGCAAGTTATGTCTCACCATTGCTGTATAGCCCATTAACAATCTGTCCCCTAACTATGGAAAGCTGGTTGTACTATTGGTCAGCACAACCTAAACAAGAATTAGGACTGCAAGTTGCCCCACTGGAAGGGTTTGCCCCATCTATAAAACCTTACTCAACCATAATGATATAAACCTTTCCCCTCTTTTTTTTGGCTCTAGGGAGAGATCACATTACCGTGGGTTGTAATTATCAGTGGGTAACTGTCATGTCCTACCCCCACTGAGGGACACATAAGAGTGTCACTACCCTTTCCACCACTCCATGCCTACTTTCTCACCCTCCTTTACTATTGAGGTGGGGAGTCATGGATATGCATTACTTCTAACTCCTATGAACTTTGGGCTTGTATGCTGTTATCCTGCACTTGTAAGGAGCAACATATCTTTTTATCTCCCTTCCATCGGTTAAAAGCACCAGCAAATTTATCAGAGCGGTCTGTCCATAATACAAGGGTAGGCTACATCCTTCTACAGCCAGAGTGCTTGTAAGAGGGACAGATGGGTCAATGTCTGTGCTACTACTGCCCTCTCCTGCCTGGAAGGAGAAGTGAGTTACAGATCAGTCCTGTCCAGGTACTACAAGACACAGGTCCTTGGCGTCCTAACACTAGCACGGTATTTCCCAGTCATGCTTTCATGTGCCTGATAGTAGGTACTCTAGTCATTTCTCAGGAGTTTCAATTATTCACTATGCACATATAAGCTCTAGGTCTGTAATTTTAATAATTTCATAACTGCCCTGCCTCCTTTGCTTGCGAGTCATGACACCTGAAGAAGTGGTGGATTTTTACACTGCTACCAAAAACACCACTGAAATTCCAGAGTGGTAAAGTCATTCATGGCAAGCTTTGCCTATGGAGAGAACTGGAGTGCCATTGCCTCTCTGTGTTGCCAGTGTCCAATCTGGGACGGAGGCAGAAGCCCATAGACTTGTGCCTTTGACAGAACTGGTAAGATCTTCCATATGTGGGGGTTTGAGGAAAAATAAGGGGAAAGAACAAAATTATTTCCACAATTCCTAGTATATGAGTGAAATTCCATTCTGGATTCAGACATCCAACTTCAGTGGCTTGATTCAGTTGTCCAAACATAGGCACCTACTGCAATTTGAGATGGACTGGGTTATCCAGTTTGCTTACCAACTGCTGCTCCAGAAGCAGACAGGTCTATTTTTGTTACAGTGTTGTATCTGTCAGTTATTATGGATGTCTTGGGTACCACATATCTATGTGTAGGTAACTAAATAGAGCCCTTAATGTCTACAGTGCAGAAGTCTCCAGTGTCCAGCAGAAGCTCCCAATGTTATCAAGGGCATCTGTGCCTTGTAATCAATCAATCCAGCCACCCTGGGTGGAAGCAGTTCAACTGCCATGCACAGAACTGTGCTTCATGGGCTGAAGAATTAAGACTGCTAATTTAGATGCCAGTAGCCCTCTTTAACACATGGAGATCACTAACATTCTTTTCAGTGCCCTGCTCAGCCCTACCTGGTGTGAGGTTATGTTGATAGCAGTACAGTGAATGAAATCAGGACCCCTTTCTGTCATGAAACAAACCACATTCATTGACTGAAACTACTTGACCTTCCAAAACTACCTCTTGGTAATGGTCCCTCACATTTTCAATCTCAAGATCTGCCTAGGATAGTACTATTTGATACAATAAGATGGTGTCATGGCCTGTTCTAATAATTTGATAGTCTAGATGATGAAGAATCAGAGCCTTACCAGACGATTATCATGGGAAGAAGAGATGATTGGGTTGTGTAGCCAGTACATAGCTGTGAACGCAAGCAACAACAAAGGCAGGTTGGGAGTGAAGCAAGCTTAGATTAAGAGCTGAAAGATTAAGAAAGTAGTAATCAATGGGAGAAGTCAGTCTCCAGTGATTCTCTTTCTCTCCACACACCTTTGTTGACCAAGCATATGATTGTCTGGGCATTCCAGACCAAGATTAAAAAAAAAGAAAAAAAGACTGAATTCTCATGGTTGTGGTCAAAGGCTGCTGATATTGGCCTGTTAACCCTAGACTCTTAGAAAGGCTTCAACACATGTCTATGCCATCCACACAGAAATGGAAGCGGGGGAGGGGGAGTGGAGAAAGGAAAGAAATGGCTGGGACTTGGTTTTAGAGGGTCTTTAAGCTTGGGTTAGTTCACCTTGCAGAGATGTGGGAAACCCTGAATGGCTTTACAACAGGGGACAGAATCTGATCAGGTTGCAGGTAGAACAGATGCAGAACTGCTGAAGGCCACATCAATAATTCCACTTGATGGAGCGGCACACTGTCCTATGGGAAACAACACAAAGTATTGCAGCACAAGGCCTTCCACATGAGACAGAGGGACAGATACACACTCATTTATATGGACCATAACAGAATAGTGTGAGCAGCAGTTTTATTGTGGGGTTGCTTACAGCCAGTACAGGATAATCAACATTTGGCTCATGACACTATGTGCCCAATTTGCTAGTTTTCTGAAAAGTAGCTCTGAGACTGGAAGCACAGGACTTGCTGAACATCTCTTTCATATCTGATCTTTGCATGCCTGGCAACTCTGCCACACTTGGAATATATCAGACTCATGAGCATACCTTTGCCCCAGTCTCGTACTCTTCACAAGACATTTGCTTTGGCCACTGCTAGCAATAGGATCACGGGCTAGATGGGCTCTAGTTCTGATCCAGCACAGAATTTTTTATCTTTTTCTTATCATATACAGGAACAGCTGACCATCTACCTCACAAATCATCAGGTGCCTCCCTTGCAGGAGTGACCAGGACTCTTTTTTTTCTTTATTAATCTGTGGCCCATAAGACAGCATAACCATCTTTCTTTGCTTTTTCAAAGCTATAGTCCAACTCAGCAAATAACTGCCAGCCCCCTCCCTGTCACTACCACAGGTGATATTTTATTGGTAGTGGAGGCTCTGAGACACCACTTTGCCTAGAAATCCCCTTGAAAAAAGTAGGTTACTGCCTTTTACAGGTTTTCATGTATAATAAAAAAGTTTTTCTTTTCTTTCAACCTGCCAACACTCAGTAAAGACTTTTGACATGTGAAGATAGAAGGGAACTTAATTGCACACTTGGTTCTGACACTTCCCTTTGTCAAAATACAAGAACTTTTAAGATGAACTTTTTCAACAGGTAGAAAGTAGAGGTTGGAGGAAGGAGAGAAGAGCAGTGCTGACAGGGCCGACTGGGGATAGTAGATTGTTTAGAAGCCAAAATGACTGACTGTTTTCAGTTGTTGAAAGGAACTGTTTTTCCTCTAAGGACCTGATTCATTAAAACTGTATGCTGCATTTACATACATTTCTGCTGAATACCTCTCTTTGCCTGAAAGGCTAAGGCGATGCTGCCTTTTCAAGCATTCAGTGTCTAGGTCCATACAGATGACAAGCATTTTCAGAAATCAGTCTTGGATGAAGTCCAGCAGCACAGCAGGAAATAGTTTTCTTCATCCCTTCTCTTAGTCAGGAGAGAGATGTAGTATCCAAAGTCTATGTCCAAAATGTGCAGAACAGTGGTATAATGAAGAGTAAAAACAGGTTAGTGTAGTTGTAAGTGAGCAATGAAGGTCCTTTTCAAGACCAAGAACCTGTATTTACCCACTTATTTTCCATTATGTCACTGTCCCAAAGGACAGGAGTTACAAGGTAATAATGAACTTGAACTTATCTAGGACCAGAGTATTCCAACAGAAATAATGGATCACAGAGATGCTCCTTATTATTAGAAACTATGCCCATGCACAATAATTGTGTCTATGTTAACAAAGTAAAGCATGCACACACTGAATCATCAGATTGCAATTGTCTATATTATTAAAATCATAGAATCATAGAATGGTTAGGGTTGGAAGGAACCTGAAAGATCATCTAGTTCCAACCCCCCTGCCATGGGCAGGGACACCTTCCACTAGACGAGGTTGCTCAAAGCCAAATCCAGCCTGGCCTTGAAGACTTCCAGGGATGGGGCATCCACAACATCTCTGGGCAACCTGTCTCAGTGCCTCACCCCCCTCTCTGTGAAGAATTTCTTCCTGACATCTAATCTAAACCTCCGTGTTTTCAATTTGTACCCGTTACCCCTTGTCCTATCACTACAGGCTCTTGTAAAAAGTCCTCTCCCAGTACCCTTGTAGGCCCCCTTCAGATATTGGAAAGCTGCAATGAGGTCTCCTCGGAATCTCCTCTTCTCCAGGCTGAACAAGCCCAAGTATGTCTCCTTGAACCCTCCCATATATCTTCTACGTATGTTTTGAGAGTTATCCCACACCAGAGTCCATTCTCAGGAAGCCGCCCTGTTTAGGAGGCTAGAAGAGCATAAATACAAAGACCTTATCAGATGGTAACAATTGGCACGAGGATGTGAGAATGGTTCCTGGCACTGCCTTCATTTCCAGGTGACATTGTTTATTAGGTTGCATGTATTTACTGTGACCAGTATTAGATTAATCGACTGAGTGTCAGGTTAGTGTCAGGCAATCAAAGCAAGTGTCCTGATCATCTAATGGGTGTCATGCCCTCCTGGCCCCATGTTATGTGCCTATTGTACCAATATAGTCAATGGTATGAGAACACTATGATCATTTGGAGAAGTCCTGAGAGAGATCCAGACATCTCTTCTTTTTCTTCTTTTTTTGATTAATTGTATCATAAACTAATTGTAAGTAAGTGGTGTCTCTATTGATCCATGGTCCAGATAGTACTCTTCTGAGGGCATTCATGCACTAAATGGAGCCAGTTTGGGTTCTTTAAAAAAAAAGAAAAATAACCCAAACACATTGGTAGAACCTTCCTGGACTAATCTGCAAACTAGCCCAAAACAACATCACAAGAATGAAAACAAAACAAAACAAAAAAAAAACCCCACCCAACATATTTTCAGGTCTCTTTTAGTGTTAGATCTTATATAGACTTATCCTAGGGGATATTTTCAATCCTCAGGTGATGAGGAATGCTGAAAAGCAGAAGGAGAGGGAAGACAGCAAGACCATCCATCCTTTCCTAAGAAGTTGTGTTACTATGCTGGTGGGAGATCGGGCAAAACAGAGCCTGAGTTCCCACTGAAAGGTGTCGAATGGGGGAACCAGTTCCTACCTACTGAAAGTCTGTGTTGCCCAGGAAACCATCACAGAGAAAAGGTGAAAACGATGGGATTATGTAGGCACTGACAGCTGAGTGAGTCACTGAACTGCTCCTATTATTACTGGAGAGAAAGAGGCACTGTTAGGATGCAAGTCCTCTGGACTTCTATAGACATCTACTTTAGGCTGCCTGATACATGGTAGAAAATGTAAAACAGTTTAATGAATGATTCAATAAGAAATTTAAATAGCTGCTGCTGGAATGAATTCACACTCTGGACAGACCTGTGGGAGAGGTCTCAGTTAAGGATCCACCAGCTATTCTGCCCCAGACTCTACAAGGAAGCAGAGTATGGACACAGAAGGAAACTAGAAGAGCAAAAATAACATTTTCCTTCACAATTCCTAGTGTTCCATTTGTCTTAATAGTTGGGGATCAAGAAGGCAAGGCCAGAACATTCAGGACGTTTACGTGCAGCTAAACCAATGCACACAAGCAAATGTACAAGTAGTGGTGCATTTACTCTAAGTCTTCTGGTGTGTTCTAATGCTAGTTCATCATTTTCTTTCACCATAACCCTTGCTCCTAATATAGGTGAGCCAAGCCAGACTTAACACTGCCAAACTGGGTACAAATCAGGAGAGAAATCACATTTTAAAATGACAGTGCTTGCATGGTTTCAGAGGGGAACTATTCTTCTTCAAGAGATTTTGTATGCTGCTGGCTCTGAGAATTTGGGGCATGAAGGCAAGAGCGGGATTTTTTGGTCTTTAATTTCTTTAACAATGCCTCTGCCGAACATTTTTGTTATGACTGAGATCACCAAGGATAATGTGACAACATTGTGGGAATCAATCAGCTTTATGGGAAGGATTACACCTGTGTAATTTAAGAATTTCTGTTTTCCTTTCAGACAAATATGTAAAGAATTCCAAGACCTTCTAAGTCAAGACAGATCACCCCTCGGATCCTCCAGACCAACTCCAATATTAGACCTTGATATCCAGAGACATTTAACACATTTCAGGTATGATTTTGAAAGATGAACAGCTACACAAAATTCATGATTTTGGTAAAGACTACATATGATACTATAGTGATATTTCTTCCCTTACCTAGAAGACTATGATAATGTTTATATTCTCTCTGTTATCTGTGCCTGTTAAAAGTGGTTCAGCAATGTGGTTCAGGCTAGTTGCATTCACCCTACTTCTAGGACCACAGTCTGGATTTGAGGAAGTAATTTGATAAATCTGCTGGCCAAATCTCCCCATCTGGCCAGACATTTGCCTTGCTCTTGATGCAAGCCAAATCACAAGCCAACCAACGACAAAGTGGATGGTCCAAAAATCTAGAAATTCAGATTTGGAGCCATAATGATAATGTAGATGAATCAAAGTAGCAATAAATGGAGGAACTGTTAGGTTGCACCATTACCAGTTAACTAAATAGTTCCAGAGCCTCCTCTATGCTACCGAGAGCATTTGACATCATATTACCATGAACATACCATGAACTCTTTGGCCTCCAAATCAGACTGGCCTCATAGCAGACTACCTACTCAAATGGTCTCATTGCACTAACTGCTGAACAACACCCTGCGAAGGTCTGGGACAATGCAAGCCAGCTCAGACCAAAGAGGTAGAGATGGCTAATATATTTAGACTCATTTCCTGTGTGCATGCCCTAACAATATTTAATTTACTGGTGTAGACAGCCTAAGAAGCTGTTATGAAAACAAGAACCCATGGTACATGCACACCAAGTCCAAACTTCATTGGAATTTCATTCAAGTTATAGATAAAAGTGTATAGATGCTTTGGGATCAGAAAGGTTTATTAGCCCAGGAATTGCTGAGCAATTTCAGGTTTTTTGCTTTAGGCTATATGCTAGATACAGTTAAGAGTGAGATGGGAACTTGCAGAGGGCCACTTTGAAATAGTAGGGTCATCTAAGATATTTATCAAAGGTAAGTGTGATGAAATATCCTAGAGGTGCTCCTGTCTTTGCTCAGACCACAGAGGGGACTACATGACTAGCTGAGGCTATGGATTATTTTTTTTCTATCCATTAGCTGATACCTGAAAAGATCAACATGTAAAGAACTGTTCCAGAGATTTGTTTACAGACCATAGCACTAAGCATTTTTGTTAGGTCTATAAAGCCTTATAGTGATGTTGCTTACTCTTCAACACAGTCAGCTGAGCCACTCTTCATTCATTGGCTGGGCAGACAACTTTTGTTCTCCAGCACCCCAACATCTTTTAGTTATTAAGATTCTGATAGAGCATGAAACACCCACCTGCCAGATGGTGCTATGGTACCTGATGTTTAGTCCATCCACCTTTGAATGGAATCCATCATCTCACGTCTTTTCTCTATGTGTTGGGAGTGGGAAGAGACAAGGATACTGACTGGTCCACAAATGCACACATCCCTGTTTATACTTACACGTAGCTGTGTGCAACCTGTTCGTATACAAACACATCTAGACAAGCCCACTTCTATTCTCATGGAGTGATATGCAGACACATACACATACCACATAAGTCTATGTATACTTTCCCTTATACACATATACTGCAAAATACCTAACTACAATTGTACACCAAGGAAGACATACAGGATACTCACAAGGGGATTTTAATGGGCTACCTAAGCTTATGGAAAAATAGATAATTCTCCATTACATGCACACAAAGAAAATGTGGTATAATGTAGCTAATCCCCAAGGAATCCTGTGTTTAATGAAGAAATAGTACTCAGGATGAAATGCTGAAGGCTCCAGCTACAAAGCTATCAACTGGTACAGCTCCCATCCTTCTTTCTCTGCTTCACTTCAGTAGGTTGGAGTACAAAGCTTCTGTAGATAACTCCTGGATCATTCAGTGGTTTCTTTCATGCCTGCTTTAGGCAACAAGTGTTGGACTGAAGATGGGTTCCTAGAACAGCACAGGTCTTGATCCTACACAGATGCTTCCCTAGGCTTGAATCAGCCAGCCTTCTCTGATGTCTGTACTCGGGAATGGTGGGTACTGCCAGACCCAGAGGCTGAGTTGAGACAGTGTTCTTTTTCCATCTATTGTAAAGAAGTTGAGGTCAGATCCAGCCTCTGACCCAGACTTCTAATTCTACTCATCTACAGATAAGATCTAGGGATGTGAAATCTGCATTACAATTAATCAGGTCTAACCTAGACATTTACATTAGTGTGACTTGAATTTCTCTCTAACCTCCGTTGACTGAACAGTCTGGTCTAGATCTCCATCTGAATGGGAGCTTAGCCAACCAGCACACACCAGAAAACAGTGAAATCTAACATAGGCAAAAAAAATGTTATTCCCATCCCCTAAATCTAGCAGCCTTCACAGCTAGGTCATCTGAACCTCCCCTACCACTACTTGCCTTGTTGAGATTGAATATCACAGAAGGCCCTTAAGATGCCAAAGAAGATGTGAGAATGCAATTCATGATGATTTCCAGGAGCATTATTTTCTGAGTCAAGTTCCAACACAGAGTGCTTCTGATCAGTCATTTGGTTTCTCTGCCTTTCTCTGAGGGATGAGCCTCAGGCTGAACCAACCTCTGTCACAGGAAATTTGCACCTGATCATCTGGAGATGAGAGAAGAGGAAGAAATTCTTGGTACTCCAACACACAAAGTTTTTGTAACCGAGGGAACAGCACACTCACTGCTCTCTGAGCCATAGCACAAACTCCTAGTGGTCACAAGCACAAATGGCTGCTTGTCATTATACATCAGTTTAAGTTATTTTATAAAAAGATGTTGAACACATCTGCCTAACAAAAAGCACATGCCTAACACTAAGAATTGAAATATTCAAAGTACATTAGCCTCCACATCCTTGATCGTAAGTCTCACCTAAAATCAGATTTCTGAAAGAGCAGGATGTCCTTATTTATTACAGTGAAATAAACACAATTATCATGTATCTACATCTATAGATAAAATGCTTTGCAACTGTATGCCGGTGACGGATTTGACCTTCATACCACAGCCATTGTCAAATACTCTGCTGACATCTACAATAGTCAAAAATGGAGCTGTCTTAGTAAGTGTCTGGTCCTCATTATACACATGAAATTAATGTTATTTATTAACAAATCGCCCAAGAGCTGTTGGTGCTCTGCAAATAGGTCTTGCAGAGGACACATAAGTCTGAAGCAATGGCTCCACAGTCATTGCAAAATTTGTAACAAGCTTTTTCAATAATGAAATTTTCATCGTCATTCCTATCTGCATTCCAGAACTGTGGGTTTTCACGCAATAAACTATCTCTAAGTCTCTAGATTGAGATGGAGAATCATAGAATCATAGAATGGTTGGGGTTGGAAGGGACCTTAAAGATCATCTAGTTCCAACCCCACTGGGTTTTCACACAATAAACTATCTATCTCTAAGTCTCTAGATTGAGA